CATTTATTTTATCACTATCTAATAAATAGTGTCAGAGAAACAATTTTAAAATTATAACCTCCAGCTTCTCACTTGGGTTTTATCTGGTGCTATCTAAGTAATTATAAGCTCACAGAAACTAGGTGTCTTACTTGTGCCAAGCCTTGTGCTAAGGACTTTGTATCTTTTATTTCACGTAATTCTCTTAGCGACCCTGTAAAATCCGTGTATTTATTATTTTACAGATGGTGTAAGTGAGGCTCAGTGAGGATCCTCACTCAAGGCCACACAGGTAATCAGCAGTGGGGCTGGAGGTCTGCAGCTGGGTCACCATGCTCCACAGTCACCATGCCATTCTGATCAAATGCTTTCCAGGTGAGCAGGGAAACAGCCATGGGTCAGTATGAAGTTGCCCCAGAAAGTCTAGTTTTCATTCCTGTTTGATTCATTTGTCAATTCTTTCACTCGTGTATTCAGCAAGGGTTGATTGAAACCCTGCCAAGCACTCTGCTAGGTCTCTGAAATATGAAGGCAAGAACCACACAATCTTTGGCTCCAAGCAGTTGCACATGTGAATTTAATTCTCTTGTTTTTGTTCTCTATCTATGGATTTCTCTTTTTCATTACTCTTGTGCCATTTTATCTATGTGAGACCAGAAGAAAGTGTCTGTGGACCACTCTTGGCAATAGGAAATCCTTCAGACCTGATTCCAATTATAGTCTAATGTCAAGATACAGAAAATGTAAGGGAGTTATTCTGCCAAGGAAAATGTTACTTGATAACTTAAAATTAATTGGTATGTAACCTGCTGGCGTGAACAGCAAGCCCACGAAGTTGCTAGTTCTAGTAAAGTGATGAAACTGGTTATAGATGAAGTAAGATTTCCATGTGAGGCAGCACTGCACTCAAGGCCATTTCTGAGGTGAAAGGGTGGGACAATATCTGTAATTCCAGCTATGAGCTCTTGAAGTTGTCTTCAGAAGAGAATGGAATTGCAGCTCTAGTCCTTTTTTTTTTTAACCAAATTTACTCTTTCTCAGTTTCTGTTGAAAGGAGTAAAAAAAGTTGTACATTTGATGAGAGCAAAAAAATCAACAATAATAGAAGCAATGCTGAAATCTATTATTCAAATTTAAGGCATTTTTATTGACAATTTGATTTGAAAAATCCAACTTTTAATAACATAAATGTGAAAAGAACAAAATGGAGTTCTAAAAGAGTTTGTGTAAAATCATGTTGCCATGATATCCTCCAGAAATAAACAGATTCTTCATAGTGGGAGATTTTGCAGATGGGAGACCTAAGGTCCCCAGGGCTGATGATCTGTCCTGGAGTCAGGGGCATGTGGACTGACTTTGCTGGGCTAGATTCATTTGCACTTCATGCATTTTTGAATTATTTCATTTCATTCTTGCCAAATGTATGATGTTAGAATATATTTATTTCTAGTGTGTGGTACCTGTGCATACCATCTTGGGATTCTGACTCATTTCAAGTGGGAGCAATAGTAAGATAGAGAAGGAAAATGGTAAAAAGAAGTAAACTCAGCACAGTTGCAATCAAGGTATTCACGAGAAGGCAGTGAATATTGGTTTATTACAGTTCTCATACTCATAATAGTTGTAACAGGTGAACCTGGATCCTTTGAGGAAAGAAAAAAGAATAATCTGTATCTCTTGGGCTAAAAATCCTAATGGAAATGGTTTCTTTCTGGAAAAGACTCTTATTTTCAACTCTTCTAGATGTTAAAGGAAAGTAAGGTGGGCCACATATTTCCCACATCCTTTAGTGACGAACAACCAGTTCAATAAACCTAAGGGAGTCAATGTCTTTTTGCTCAACTGTTAAGAAGGGAGCCTGGAAATTTGAAACCACTGTGTAACATGTGATGAACTTACTTGGGATGTTTTTTGAGGAAAGGCAAATGTCTTATCCCATGGTCTTGGGTTGCTGCTTGGAAATATTTCAGAACCACCAAAGTTCATTTAGGCTAATTTCCAGTTTTATTTACTTTTGCCAAAAGTAAAGATTCTTTTTTTTTTTTAAGGATTTAAGTTGATTTCTAGAACTTTCCTGTTCCTTACTTCTTTAAAAAAATTGCTCATCTAAAGGGAAAATTCACAATTACAATTCTCTGGGTCCCTTATAACTTGAAAAGAACTCATTCACTTTCCACGCAAGAATTAAGAAACAAATTTTCTTAGTCCATTGGTTACTCTGTCCAGTAAAACATCATACAAATACCACTGTCTAATTCATAAGAAGCAAAACAAAGCAAAAATCCTATCCACTATAGGTTTAATATTTATGGTTCCATTACTTTTGATTTTTACTTCAATAGTAAAAATTCTTCACAAATTAGGAATATACCCAAGAAACAATAGTGTTATATCTAGGGCATTAATGTCAAATGATGCAAAAAAAACTACAAGAAGATTTTCAGGAGAACCCTCTACACTAATACCATTTAAAGCTATTTTTTTTTTGTAATCATTGCCTAATTATTCAGGCTCAATAACCATTTCTTTCTCCAAATGACTTTCATATGGGAATGGTTTAATTGCTGTTATTTTTTTCTGTAACAGCAACACTATGTATTCACTCTAGTGATTTTTAAGTTTTGTGACTTACAATGTGTCAAATTATTCTTCTCTTAGCCCCTCCTACATGAATCCCCTTAGAGGAACATCAAGGAGTGAAGGGAAGGCAGAGGACTTCAGAATGTTCATGTGAATTTCTTTGCTGACAGCTCTATAATTCACATAGAACATATGAATCACAATGTGCTGTGACCCCAATCATGCTTATTTGCCCTTCAGTACCCACAGGTTAATCATCTCTTATTATTCTCCACCTTAGGCAAAGGAGGGTACTGTGTTTTTCAGTAAGATCTTCCAGTCATGGCTCAGGACCCCTCTTCCAGGGTGGAGGTACAGAGGACTGTCTCTCAGATGCAGCTTTGACATTCTGTACACTCTTCTCCATTCTCTTAAAAAAAATCAGGATCCTACAAAAACCTTTTCTGTTTTTTTTTTCAAATGTCTTTTATTAGTATTACTGACATGCAGCTCTCCCCAGTCCTCATGTTACTGGAAAGTCGGCAAAGTTACCTACCTCAGTCCTTGTGTCCAGTGAGAGAGGAATTCAGGCAAGACGTGAAAATGACAGCAAAGTGTAGTAGGAGAGAAGGTTAGCACAACAGGATAAAAGATGGGAGGAACTGTAAGAGGTGCCTAAGCTGATTTTGCTGAAGAACACTGACTCCTTACTTGGAACCACAAATTAACTAAAAATAGAAGAAGAGCTTGCATCTCTGTCTCCATTTGTACCTGTTGTCCATTCTCTCCAAGGTGGCTACCTTGAATCAAGGAAAGACAGGAATAATTGATAATATCTTTATGACAAGGGACTGAAACTACCCCTAAGGAATAGAGAATCTTGCAGGACAGACCACCTCTCCAAATGAGGACAATTACTGATAATGATGACACTGCACCCTGGCACAGGAGTAATCATGTCTTAGGAACCAGATTGCTCCCCTCGAGTGATGACAGTGACAACATCCAGAACCCTCAAAAAACAAAAACTGAGATAATGTCCAAACAGACCACACCCATGACTGGGACTGTTTAACTATGCATACCTTTTGTCCCCTGTTCTAATTAAACTCATATCTGTACCCCAAAGATGGCTGAAGATGAGCCAAAATGCTTACTTTGCCTCTTTCCACGGTGTGTCCCAGGCCATGTAATAAATCTCCTTGCTCTGTGTCCTCCCCCATGTGTCTTTTTTTGGCATATAGGGATGTGGAAACCCAGAAGTTTGGGCTTAGGGTTTGAAATGCCAGTTTCAAAATGAGGGAAAAAAGAGAAAAACATCTCTTGCTCCCCATGCAGGAAATGGGAGATAAATATGTCAGTGGTTCTCAAACCTGTCTGAGCATCACACATCACAGATTATTTGGGATGAACGAGTAATGCTACAGTGGCAAGAAATTCTGAGTTTTGGGGACCTCAACACAACAAAATGATATTTCTCCCTGGATCTGTTAGGACCCATAAGGTTATCAGGAAGGGGGGTAAGAGCTTGTATCTCACTCACTGTTCTCACTTGGGGATTCACGTTCCAACTGAATGTGCTTCAAAGATAACTACATCAGGGGAAGGACTGGGCAGATCTACTTACTGGCTTTTAAAGTCTCTCCCTGAAAATGACTAGTCACTGGTTTACATTTCACGTTTTAACGACTAAAGCAAGTCACATGCTCATGATAACTTCCAAAGAGGCAAAAAAGTACAATCCTACCATAACTTTGTAGATAGCATGCAGAAATGAAAGACTTCTGAATAACACTGATAAACCACCACAACCCTCAGGATTCTTGTTCATTATTTTCTCCCCCAACCATACTAATACTTTGCTAGGTTTGGAAACTCCCATCCCATTTAATTTATTTTTGGAAGAACCTAACTGAGGTTTAGCTTCTCTTCTGACTTCTTGTTAAGGCATCCTAAGTATTGAATATAGAATTGCATTCAATAGCTATCCAATGAACCTCTTGTAGCAGTGACTGACCTACTCTTCAAGAGGAAACCAAGTAGCCAGGCGTGGTGGTTCACCTGGGAGGCACACATGGGAGGACTGCAGTTGAAGGACAACTCCAGCAAAAGCTAGTGAGATCCTGTCTCAAAAACAAGCTGGGCATGGTTACACATGCCTGTGGTCCTAGTTTTGAGGGAAGTGTAGGTAGAAGGATCACAGCCTGAGGCTGGCTCCTGCAAAAAGTGAGAACCTATCTAAAAAATAACTAAAACAAAAAAGGGCTGGGTGTGGGGCTCAAGTGGTAGATTGAATTCAAACACCAGTATCTCAAAAGAGAAAGGAAAAAAGGAAACCAAGTAAGGCATGGGGGTGCATACTTGTAATTCCAGCATTTGGGCATCCAAGATGGGAGGATTGCAAGTTTGGGATTAGTCTGAGCTACATAGGGGGCTACTATTCAATAAAAGAGAAAAGCAAATGCAAAGTAACTGTGTTTTTTATTTCTATTAACAACAAAATACTTCTATAATTTCACATCTCATCGCTTTTAAAAGCACATATATTACAAATAAAGGTACTCCACAAACTTTGAAGGTTAATATTTAGCAATATCTTTTTACACATACACAAATATTTTAATAGATTGGTATCTGAAATGTTATTCATATAATTTTAGTACGGTCATAAGTCTTAACTAAAAACATTCTTTTAAATTTGGTAAAAACCATATATTTTACAACCTTCTATTTACATTTGAAATATGCTTCAATGTTACAAAAACATTCACTTTGACCTTTAAAATATATGTACTAATACTGGGTAATGAACATACTATAATCCACAGCAAACTCAGAGTTTGCTTTTGAGCTGCACATTCATTGGAATTTCATGGCAAATATTCAGTGTGGCTTGATCAACACTGCTCAGAAGGGAAAAAAAAAGAATTCATAGGAACTGTGCAAATTCATAGGCTGGCAAAATTCTCAAGCTGGCGAGGTAAACAAAAATATGAACACCATAAAAACTTCAAATAAATTAAATCTGTCTTTCTCTTCCCCAAGATTAGCTGCAAATTCAGAAAGTCCTCTGAGAGGTGAGTGTGATGCTACAGAGCTCCTGTCAAACTTCAGCACTGCTGGGTGAGATGGAGACTGTGGGCACAGCTGGTGTCGCCTTGCTAATTACACGTGTGCAGGGCCGCTCCACCCCGCGCTTTGCTGGGTCGTCCCTGGCTGTAATCTTAAAACAGTACAAAACACAAGGCGATAGGAGAGAGGTAAACTTTTACATTCCTAACACAGGATTAAATTATCTTTACTTCCCATGGAGTGTATGTAAATTTTGAAAATGCACTTATCAAAGTAGATCTCAAGGATTTTTTCCCCAAGCCCATGTGCTAGTCATTATGGCAATATTTAAAGTAGTTTCACAATCCTCTTTGATGATCAGATATAAACTTACAAATGTTTGAATGAAACATAGGAATGTAGTTGAATAATTTCAGATTTTATTCTATTCAAAAAGTTCATAACTTATGTTGTCAAAATCTATAAAAGGGAAAACATTAAAAACCTCATTTGAATGTTTGCACTAAAAGAAATATAAGAAAAAATTACTCTTGACCTGATTTACTTGAAAATAATGTTAATATGATATGACACTTTGTTATTTGATCTGTTGAAATAATATGTAAACTCAAGGAACAACAGCATCCACAGAAACTCCAGGCTCCTCCAAAATGTATCCTTGGACAGAAGAGACTTAATGAATATTGTAAATTCTTAGCAATGAACATTGTCCCACTAACTTCCCATGTCCACACACTATGCTGTAACTGTTAGCTTTACCTCTCTTCCAATAGAGAAGGGGAATTCTGATCCCCATATTGCACCTGGCATCTGAACATCTTATGCTATCAATAAATTCTTCTCATGATCAGTGCCGCAAATAATGTGGCTGATAGTGTGCTCAGAGTATCCAAGAACCCAACAGCAATATGTCTTCACATCTCACACTGTTGGCACTGTAACAGAAAGGGTCTGTTCCTTTCTCTATATTTTAATTTGGCACTCATCACAGCTGGCTTCACTTGGCTATCATTCTCACCAAAATTTTGAATACACTCCAAACGAGCATCTTATATTTATGCTTCCTCTACAGACTTACATGCAGTACTTTGGCCTCAGCCAAAGGAAACTTTTCTTGCTTTGAGGGTACTTATGAAACAGTGTGAAATTGTGGCTGCTTATAAAAAGATATTATTGCCTGTCACTACCAATTCATACTACTTGAATAGAAGCCCACACTAGCATACATTTTATCCTGTTCTATCTCTTCCCTTCTACTGACAGTTCTTTACTAAGTAGATGGTTTTAGATACTCTACTAGCTAAGACTTTTCTGGACACGCTTGGAGTGAATTGCATAATTTTATTTTTCTATTTCTATGTCTATCAATTTTAATTGTTTTTAGTTTTCAAAGTCCACTTATATTATGTATGTATTTGTTTCCTGAGTCTGTGCATGAATGCATAAGTGGGGAACACATTCCCATATATAATCACCTATGTGACAAATCCCCATCAAAGTTCAGGACCAGGAGAAAGTTTATCTTTCCTGCCAACAGCTCTGTTTTGTTTTGTTTTGTTTTTTAACTAGAGAATAAGACCTGTGCAATCCATCAGGTTCTTTTCTTTGAGTTAATTTCCAGGAAGCATAGAGTCAAATTTTGCTTCTTTTAGAAAAGATTTCCTGGAAAAGAAATTACTTTTCTCTTCTTTTTGTCACTTGGTCTTTGTATTTTTGTTTTAGCACTTTGGAGTATAGTGTACTTTGTTTTGGGAAAAAATGGGCTCCAATACATTTTAGAAATTGGTGGAGTATGAATTTTCTTTTTAAAAGCTAAGCTGTTAATTTTAGCTTTAATCACCAGGCTTTTGTTTTCCCATTGCCCTGTCTTGAAATGGAGATGAAGTTGTTTTAATTGGATAAAAACTTATAGAACACTAGCTACCATGAAGTTCATTGGGAAAAACAAACACTTAGGAAGAGATGGGTGGACAGAGGGCCACAGAGGACAGAGTAGACATAGGAGAGAAAAACATACCACTTTTGCTCACAGTACTGAGGGAAATGCTAGACACAGAGGAACAGAAGCTGTATAAACATGGACCTCGACAGAGCTGCCAGGAAAAAAAAGAGAAAAGCATTTTTGCCAGAAGTTTCAAAGTCAGACATGATTTACAGCTGGAGACAGCATTCCATCACACCATTGTTCCCAGCTTTTATACCCACTGTTTGTTCTTTTTTGTTTCATTACAAGATTTATGATTTTCCCTCATGCCTTTAAGATACCTAGAGTATTTAATTCCCATCCCCCTTCGAAAATCCCAAACCAAGACTATGTTCACTAGCAACCCTATCCAGGGAGATTCCCCCTCTCCAACCATTTCTTTCTCTAGCATTTATGGTACACTAAAGGTATTAGTGGAAAAAGATGGAAAAGAAAAAAAAAGTAACAGTTTATGCAATTAGAGAAAAAGATGCAATATGTTTCATGTTCTGTGAATATTATTAATTATGTTAGGTAATTTAAGGAGAGAAACTAATATTAAGTAAGTGACTACTAAGTCGTAGGCATTACTGGGAGACTAATTCAAGTTCTGTCCCTTAATTATTCTGTAAAGGACATATCTAACTCCTGGAGGGGGCCACAGGCGAAGGCATGTCCAGATAAGAGTGTGAGGGATTAAGGATTAAGGATGTAGACTTGACTTTCAACCACTTGATTTTTAGCATCTCTCCCTAACACTGCAATTACTGAATGGTCACACTTTGCGCAAGCCTCACAGAACATGCTGCTGGATGCATGCCTGACATCATGGATGACTTGCTTGTGGGGTAGGGGGAGTTTTATCTCAATTGTGGACATCGGCAGAAGGCCTAGCTTCTGCAGAGGAAGTCTTTTTTTTTTTTTTTTTTTACAGTGGCTAAGTTTTTATTTTAATCTTTTTTTTTTTTTTATTATTCATATGTGCATACAAGGCTTGGGTCATTTCTCCCCCCTGCCCCCACCCCCTCCCTTACCACCCACTCCGCCCCC